ATCATGGCAAGCATCACCTGCGACTTAGTGGGATCCTGTGAATATAAAAATGCCCTGTAAAGGTATGAGAAAAAAACATACCCAGTCAGAGCTGGTAAGATGTATGGAGAATTGTGACAGGAGGCATCTTGTAGCCTGACAAAGAAGAAATGGGGAGATGAAAATGACAAAGTGCAACTAACATATGTAGGGATTGTCCACATGCCAGCCAGTACAAACTCCTCCAACGGATGATAGGAAATGAGCAGCCAAGGAGAAAGTAAGGTGTCGGACTTGATGGGAGGTAACTTGGAAGAGACGACATGAATCATAATTGAATGAAGCATAGGTTAAGCAAATGAGTTGATGAACTAATCCTGTGAGGGTAATGGGAGAAATCTTGAATAGAAAAGGGTTTCCAAGGAATAAATTAACAAGAGCAAAAACCTCAAAAAGGAGCAGTGCAGGCCAAATAACATTAAACCACATGGACAGGACAGAAAAGGTGATCAGGATCAGAGCAAGAATAAACCTGAGAAATGGATAGAAGGGAAATAGAAGTGAAGTTGCTGTCCCTTTAATGAGCTGCAAACATTTTAGATAGAGAAACATGATTAGGATTAAGAAGCATATATTAATGATGGAAAAAACAAGGAAATTATCAATAGCATACAATCAATGACCAGAGACAAAAATGAGTAAGAAATAGGTTGTAAGTGAAAGATAGTACAAGGAACAAAAGTTTCAAAAAGAGGAAGGGTAAAGACGTGGAAAACAACATTCAGGTCCCAATTAGGAAGGACAACAGGATGAAGTTGTCAAAAAGAATGAAAGAGCAAGTCCCGAGACAAATTAAATGAGAAAGAAGGAAGGCAACTCGTGAAGATAGTCTGAAATATCTTGCAAAGCCCACATGAGTGATGACACTGTTGGAAGAGAGAGGGAGGAATGAGGTTGGAGGAGTAGGAATCATGATAGTGTTAGAGAAAGAGGATATGCATGGATAATAACTAAATCTCCACAAATTATCACAAAAAAATGATACACTACTTAATGCACCACCAAACGTTTAAAAAGATTGATATGAAAGGCTGATCCTTCGCAGGACCACTGACCCAAAACTCTTGAAGGTTGAGATAAACACCTGTACACAGATGGAAACTCAGACAAAAGTGCGGAAGAGGAATTTCTTTTGTGCCATCGGTTTTGTCAAGCCAGTGGAGAACATGGGATTTCAAGCAAAGTTTAATTTATCATGCAGAGTCCATTGTAGGCATCACACATGAGCATGACATAAGCAGATATGGGATTTTATGGAAGACCTAGTCCCCAAATAAGAGAACCTCCCACACAGTAAGTGAAAGAGAGGATATGGCATGGGAAGCTAATTGTTCCATGTCCCTCAAACAAAGAGAAGAGATGCAAATTGAAAAACGCCCAAATGAATGAGATACTGAGTGGGTAGGAGATTTCTCCAGTTTAACCAACCAACCCAAATGCACCATCTACAGAAAAAGGAGAAGAGTATGGCTGTAGGACAATTGATGAGATGGAGCTAAATGCAAAAATAAGCATTTAAGATGTCCACTTCAGTTATCCAAAGACCTGGAGGAAAAGATCACCACAGATTGACAAAAGTCTGCATGGTATAATGATGGAGATCAATAAACTGATTAAGGCGTGAAATATCTATGACCAGATGCCAATCCTGTTTTCTTGGGAACCACAAAAAAGACAGGAGTGAAGTCCTGAAGAAAGAAGAGAAACACATTTGATAGCATCTTCAGCCAAAGGGTTCAACACTTTCATGGGCAGATGCTGGCAAGAAACAAGATCCCTTGGTAGAGGGATTGTAACAGGAACAGGAGAAAGTATGTGTGGGAGGAAAAACAAACGTTAATGCCATCTGACAGAACTTGAAGTACCCAACAACTGGCTGCAAACAGATATCAAGTATCCACAAACTGAACGAAATGGGACCCTACTGTCCATGAGCCAATAGGATAGTCACTGCCAAAACTGACAGCACTGAAGTCTATTAGAATGAAAAAAGGAATGAGAAGTGTGGACAGGAGTATGGAGGAGACAGAAAACCAGTGAGGATAAGGAAGAAAATTGACATGCAGCCCCAACATGTATCCAGAGAATCGGGCACTCCACTATAATCACACTGTTGGAGGAAAGGAGCCAAAAGAAGATATCTGAAACAAAATAGAGGCAAAAGCACTTGAGTAAGAAGAGCATCTCTACTCAGCAAATTCTAGCAACAGATGAACCAAATATGAAGTAATAAGGATGAGGAAGATAAACATGCCACTGTAGAGAAGTCAAGTGAACAATAACGTAAAAGGGTAGTGTGTGGAAGATGAAAATGGGAAAAGAAGGTCAAACAGAAGACAGAGGATGTGACCCCCAAGTCCAAAGGAAAGACCTCAGAATTTGGGAGTCTAAGAAAGGCAATACAGATAAATGTTATGCCAAGGAATATGTAATAACAAAGTATGCAGGAAGAGGCATGCATGCACCAAAGTTGGGGTAAAATTAATCCTATATTGAATTGAATATCTAAGGGTAAATAAACACATAAAAGGTAAAAGCAGAGTACAAATTACAAAGGAAGAAGAGAAAGAAAGTAACATACCTTAAAAACAAAAGGGCAAGATTAGGCATAATCGTTTCTGTCAAGAACGGGAACATAAGAGGAGGAATTTCATGTGTAGAAGAAGGTCTAGGCTGCATGAAAGACTTCATTTCTCATCCCATAAAAGCTGTCACCTCCCTAACAGACAAAGACAAACCCAACAACATTTTGGTTTTCCCACACTAGACAAAGTGGCAGTTACTGACACATATGAATTAAGAATATGGAAATAAAAGGCCACAAAATCTGCAGTTGCAGAAAATGTTGGAAAACAAAAATCCAACATTTAATATTTCCACAACAGGTAATGAATTAGGTCATCAAGAAATTAATGTTGCCTTTTGGAACACTTTCATTAACAACCCACAAAAAACTTACATCATGTATAATAGTTAAACGAACTGCCTAAATGTCACGTTAGTGTAGCCTATATAATGTGTAAAGTTTAGTATACTCTAATCCCTTATAGTGATACCACACGATGAGAC